ATATGAGATTTAAGACATTAATATAGCACAAAACAATACAAACAAACAAATAGTTCATAATGATCCTTACTCAGTCAAGCAGCAAGAGATAACTGGCAATGTACAAATACTACTGGTCCATTTTTGGGTGAGCTTACTATGTACGAGCAGTCTTACATGTCATGTTTATGACACAGGGTGTTCATCCTTTGCTGGACAGGCTATTTAAAAACTAACTGGGGCATAAATTAAGAGTAAACTCACTTCTCCAGGCACCATTACACCACTGCTTAGTACAGCTGTTTCTGGTTAAACAAAAGGTTTGTCTCTGCAGCCTTTCCATCATGCTGTCAGACAGCTGATGTGTTAGGAAGGGCATTTGCTGCAGTACACAGTGGCAATCTTGATGACACCTGTCTATCTATCTACCATTACATTATACAACCTGTGATGAAGGTTGCAGATATTGAATGTTCATTTAATTCATTACTTAACAAGCCAAAAAGGTTGAAAGCTACTGGTCTGGACATATAGGACACCAAAGACAGCTAAAAGACTGTTTACTAATCTGCAGTCAAACTTTGAACTGACATCACCCAGGAATTTGTTGTAAAGGTTAAGGTCAACCTTCCACACTGAGCCCAACTGGGCGGAGAGGTGCTTAGTAACCTTACAGCAAAGCTGAAAGGACATTTCAGGTGATGTCTGTGTGAGAGTAAACAGCACTGTGTTTGCAGAAAGACTCAACAAAAATCAACAGCAGGACAAATGTCTCCTTTGGAGGATTTTGCTTTCTTCCTCTTCTCCAGTCCCACCGCTCTGTTAGGGGCTGTTGCTCTTCTGCTCGTCTTCTATCTTGTCTCTGGTAGTTTTACCTCCCATAAAGTGGGGAAGGAGCCTCCAGGACCGAGGCCTCTTCCCCTGCTTGGCAACCTCTTGCAGCTTGATCTCAAGAGACCCTACAAAACCCTCTGTGAGGTGAGTTTAGCTCTTATCCCAAAACAAATTGTGTATGTAACATGTTGCTATTTATTTAATTATGTTATTTAATGTCCTTACACTACCCCTTACATATTTTGATAAAACATTTTCTTCTGGCTTTCAAAGAAATATAGATGTACTTTGGAACCAATAAAGTTGTGGTCCTAGCTGCAGAAGAGTTTGGAGATTGAGACATTTCCCCTGTATTCAATGATATTAATCAGGGCCATGGTATGTCCTTCCTTTACAGATTGGCACAAAGTAAAATCATTTTAATTATCAATCAGAGCAAAAGCAAAGTCACAAATAATGTATTTGTCATCTGTTTGATATAATACTGTTCTCTTACCGCCTTGTGTATGGAAGCAGGTTTGAATACAATAACCCTGCATTCAAAAACTTGGTCAGAAGAGCCAACAAGACCATACACATTACTGGATTGCTTTTTAAATTGGTGCTATTGTAAGGGGATTACACACCAGCCAATTTAAGTAAGATAGCCATTCAAGCCTCCAAATTCATATAACTCTATAGTCCAACATAAGGCTGACGATTTCACAAGAATTTGACCAGTACCTTTTGATGACATAGATT